GAGTACGTCGAGTGGGTTAATAATAATGTGAATTTTAGAAATAATTAATCTATCACGTTTGTGTTTATTGTTTTATGATAAGTAATTGTAATCGTGTTAATTAAAATAAATATTGTATACTGTAATAAAAAATATTCACAAATGCATAAGTTTGTTTTCAAATAATTTTTTAAAAATTGGTTTACCTGGTGTACATTATTTTTCTAAAAATATGTATAAAATACTTCAAAACTTTTAATAAAAAATTATTATTCCCCGCTTGGGGCGCGATCTCATGTCCCCCTATACGATCTCTGGACCTCTCATATTGATTAATGTTAACTTAGCTATAGTTAGTGCGACACTCTAACCGCTACACCACTCTACTCCCCACCACCACCCTTTGCTAAAATAAGATTTAAATTATAAAAATAATTAAATAAGTAATTCAAAATATGTTTTAATAAATTTTTAAAGTTTTTCTAAGAAATACTTTAATTTATATTGTTGTATTTAATTATAGGTCATATACCTATTTACAGTTTGTTTTGTAAATATAAAAACATCGAGTAAATTTTGTGTTTTTATATATGTTATAAGTTTATAGAAAGTAAAATATATTTTATTATAATTTAATAATCTTACATAGGTTTTAATTGTACAAATTCATATGAAAACACTCCAATATTTTAAAATTAAATACCTTATTAGATGTACAAATGCTAAGTTAATACAAATTACAGTTTATAAGCAAAATTTTTATATCAATATAAGCATTATAAATATAAATTAATTTTTCTAATATACTGTATTTAAAACATTTATGAATAACATTGTTTTAAATATTATAATAATACAGTACGTGTAATTAAAATATTGATAAGTATAAATAAGTGTACCGATTTAGCAAGTTAGTATAAGGTATAATTAGTAAAATGTGTTAAAATATATTTTAAACACCATGACACTTATTAAACCTATGGTACCTGTCTCACGTGTGGGTATATTTGTGCTGACCGCCATAAAAATAAAACAAACCCTTAACCATTTTTTGGCTACATCCTTGGCCACCCAGTATATCCTTAGCCGCGCGGTACATACGCTCTTCACAGTCGGCAATGCGACCGATAATAGTAGTCATGGCGTCCCATACGGAACACCCACCCAATGCTATTACAAAACTAATTTATAATAATAAACAAATATAGTTTTGTATATTAATAAGATACTAAAACGTCATATATCCATAAATTAATTGACAAATAATTATTACAAATATAGTTTTAATACATCACATCGCTTAATATGGTCTCAAAATCAGCTCAATTAGTCATTTGTGAAAATTATTTATATGGAAAATGTTTTATTTAGAAATATATCCTATTGTAAAACATATCTTAAACATATTGTCTCTATGAAACATTTATTATACTTTTAAAAATAATTTATTCACAAAATGGTTTACTTCATACTCGATGTGTTCATAATTTATATATTTTTAATTAGCTTCATGCATGTAAGTTACACCTTGAAAGTTACCTTGTTACATTATTTATAAAAAATAAAACACCCCTTTATAATGAACAGTGCTGCCAACCCCTCTCAAAAATATGCGGTCGCGGTGGTAGCGACGGGCGTATAGTGGGGGGCCGGGAGGTTAAACCCGGTAAATACCCGTGGATGGTATCCGTGGGCATACACGTGGACAACAAGCACTTAGCCTGTGGGGGTGCCCTCGTCGGGCGCCAGTACGTACTGACAGCCGCCCATTGTCTCAAATGGCCTAATCGTAGGATTAAACCCAAGGAACTAGTGGTGAGAGTGGGCGCCCACTACCGAACCCGCAATGAGACAAAAGCCAGGGATTACAAAGTAAAGTGCATACGTGTGCACAAAAACTACACTGGCACAATGCATGGCCACGATATAGCGGTTATTAAACTGAGAAATAAGGTCAAGTTTAGTCGACGCGTACGTCCCATATGTCTGCCCCCGGATAACAGCAACGACTACGAGAATCGGGTGGCTATGGTGTCCGGTTGGGGTCATACGGCTCAGGGAGGGGAAAATAGCCCTGTGCTTATGGAAGTACCGGTGCCCGTTTGGAATAACAGTGATTGCTATGATAGTTATATTAATACAACCAAGGTAACCTACAATATGCTATGTGCTGGTTATAGGGAGGGTGGCAAAGATTCGTGTCAGAATGACTCCGGGGGTCCCCTAATGTTGAGGTCTAAAATGAATGGTAGGTGGATGCTTATCGGGATAGTGTCGTGGGGTGAGGGGTGTGCCCAACCCAATTATCCCGGGGTTTATACCAGGGTCAGTGAGTATATCGATTGGGTTCGTGAGCACACGAGTTAATGAATATTGTATTACTGTATTACTAATATTATAATAGATTATTGTATGAAATATATAATGTTTGTAATCGCTTTTAATGCTAATAAAGAATGTGCTCAAAGTGTGTTATTTTTATATTATATACAATTTTATATTTGTAAATTTAATTTACTAGCATGTAAAATTTTAACAAAAAAAATATGGGAATATTTTATTGTAAAAATATTCGTGATATAGCTTCTTAAAAATAAATGTACCAACTTGTATTTATAGTTTTTAACTGATAAAATATTAATTTATTTTCTTAATAACCTTAGGTCTGTGATATTAAATGTTTAATATGATGAAAATTATATTATGATATAAAAATAAGTGTTTGATATACTAATTTGTGCACTAAATAAATGAAACCTAACCCATAGCCTAAAATGGCAATTCTTAATATTAATGCCATATAAATTTGTTGAATTTATAATTACAGTTTACAGTTATATTATTTATGACAAGAGCACCGGTATCTTCATAATTGGTATGCAAATTATTAATATGGAAATTCTGTAATTTTGGAAATATATCCTTTTCCCTAACATATTGTACTGTATCTCCATATAAGTCAGAAATGTTATATAATGTTATATAATATAAATAACTTATATAAATATAAAAATTATAACAACATTAATTTTTTTATTTAAAAAATAATCTTCCAATATGGATAATCTTTTACTAATTGTGTTTTCAATATTAATTAATGTTACTACTACCATTACAACCACATCTAACCAAGATAATGACACTACGACACCACCAATCATCACCACTACTGACAACCCTGATGATTGGTGGGATACACAACCATTAGCCAACATATGCGGTCGCGGCGGTAGTCACAGACGTATAGTAGGGGGCCGGGAGGTGACCCCGGGTTCATACCCGTGGATGGTATCCGTGGGCATACACGTGGACAACAATCAAAAAGCCTGTGGGGGTGTCCTTATTGGGCGCCAGTACGTACTGACAGCCGCCCATTGTCTCATATGGCCTAATCGTACGATTAAACCCGAGGAACTAGTGGTAAGAGTGGGCGCCCACAACCGAACCCACAATGAGACAACGGCCAGGGATTACAAAGTGGAGTCCGTTACAGTGCACAAAAACTACACTGAACCAATCTATGGCTACGATATAGTGCTTATTAAACTGAGAAATACTGTCAGGTTTAGCCGACGGGTACATCCCATATGTCTGCCCCCGGATAACAACGACGATTACGAGGGTCGGGAGGCAATGGTGTCGGGTTGGGGTCATACGGCTGAGAGAGGGGAAAATAGCCCTGTGCTTATGGAAGTACCGGTGCCCGTTTGGAATAACAGTGATTGCTATGATAGTTATATTAATATAACCAAGGTAACCTACAATATGCTATGTGCTGGTTATAGGGAGGGTGGCAAAGATGCGTGTCAGTATGACTCCGGGGGTCCCCTGATGTTGAGGTCTAGAATGAATGGTAGGTGGGTGCTTATCGGGATAGTGTCGTGGGGTGAGGGGTGTGCCCGACCCAATTATCCCGGTGTTTACACCAGGGTCAGTGAGTATATCGATTGGATTAATGAGAACATGAGTTAATAATATTATAATAGATTATGTAAAATATATTGTTTGTAATCAATTTTAATGCTAATAAAGAATGTGTTCAAAGTCTGTTATTTTTATATTATATACAAAATATTTGTAAATTTAATTTACTAGCGTGTAAAATTTTAACAAAAAAATGGCCATATTTTTTGTAAAAAATATTCGTGATATAGCCTCTTAAAAACAAATGTACTAACTTGTATTTATAGTTTTTAACTGATAAAATATTAATTTATTTTCTTAATAACCTTAAGTATGTGATATTAAATGTTAATATGATGAAAATTATATTATGATATAAAAATAAATGTTTGATATACTAATTTGTGCAATAAATAAATGAAACTAATCCATTATTTAAATTGGCAATTCTTAATATTAATGCCATATAAAGTCGTTTAATTCATAATTACAGTTATATTATTTATGACAACAGCACCGGTATCTCCTAATAAGATTGAAATTTATTAATATGGAAATACTGTAATTTTGGAAATATATCCTTTTCCCTAACATACTGTACTGTATCTCCATATAAATATATTCATAAAAGTCAGATATGTTATATAATATAAATAACTTATATTATATAAAAAGTATGACAACATTAATTTATTAATTTAAAAATAATTGTCCAGAATGCATAATCTTTTACTAATTGTGTTTTCAATATTAATTAATGTTATATTTAATATAATTTGTATTAAAGCAACCCCAGTGCAGGGTCAACATTATAAAAGTTCTCAGTCTTTTAACATTAATACTTATAAAACAGGCAATGTCACATATGAACTACTAGTTAACACTACGACCAATACTAATCAAACTAGTTTACTAATAATAACTGACCTAAATAACTCATCGACAAGTTCTTCGAGCACCTTTTCAACTGAACCTGATACTACAATCACAACAGAACCTACTACCATTACAACCACATCTAACCAAGATAATGACACTACAACCCCACCAATCATCACCACTACTGACTACCCTAATGATTGGTGGAATACACAACCATTAGCCGAGATATGCGGTCGCGGCGGTAGTCACAGACGTATAGTAGGGGGCCAGGAGGTGACACCGGGTTCGTACCCCTGGATGGTTGGACTTAAACGGAAAGGCAATTCTGGTGCGTTTTGTGGGGGCGCCCTAATCGATAAACAGTACGTACTGACAGCAGCACATTGTTTCTGGAAATACGGGGAGTGGACTAAAAATGCCTCCGACATAGCCGTAAGGGTAGGCGCCCACGACCTACGAGCCACTGAACCCGAGGCTAGGGATCACGAGGTGGTGGACATACGTATACCTAAAGACTATACCAGTCATCTCCATGGCTTGGATATAGCGGTACTTAAACTGAAATCTAGGGTCAAGTTTAGTCGACGCGTACATCCTATATGTCTGCCTCCGGATAACAGCGCCGACGACTACACGGGTCGGGTGGCTATGGTGTCCGGTTGGGGTCTTACGAAATACCGCGGGAATGATAGCCCCGTCCTCCAGGAGCTGTCTGTCCACGTGTTGGGTAACCAAAAGTGTGGTGCGATTTGGGATAACAATAATTACAAGATCTTGTCGGGTATGATATGCACCGGTGGTTATAGCACTGGCGGTAAAGGTGTGTGTAGAGGCGATTCCGGTGGGCCAGTGATGTTAAAGTCTAACAGCACTAATAGGTGGGTGCAGATCGGAGTGGTGTCGTGGGGTCCCGAGGATTGTGCCCTAGCCCAGTTTCCTGATGTGAACACCCGGGTCAGCGAGTATATCAAATGGATTCGTGGAAACAAATGAGTTATTCATTAGCTATATGTTTGTGTGGATTATATTAAAATAAAATTTCATTCAAATAGAATGTAAA